GAAGATATATTAAATGTGGACATATACTAACTAGCATTAGTCACTGATTTATAAATATCAGTGGTGCAATAAAGGACATGAGTTTTAGAAAAACAAAATCTCCTTTTTTTTTTTTTTTCAAAATCTCCTTTGTAAGCCTTTTGTCAGTGTTAGAAGAATAGTACCATAATTAAAATGACCTACATTCTCCCTGTTTCTATCATTTTCAATCTCTCATTATCTCTTGTTGGAACTATTGCCATGATTAATTGACTACTATGTGCTTGGGCCTGCAGTCCATTTCCCTCTTCCCAGCTAGAACTGTCCAGTGATGCTGCTTCTTTAGTTTCTAAGACTTCAGTAGCTGCCTACTGACCACAGGCGAAAGTGAAGGTTACTAGCCTGGCTGGCCAGGCCTTCTGACCTGCACCCTACCTCTCTCTCAAGGGTTCACACAATTCATAAGAACCATGTGGCCCAACAGTATTGACTGCGCATCCTTTCCTGGACATATCATTTTCACTCTTCTTCACATCTGAATTCATCTTTTGCTTGTATCAGCCAGAGTAAATTTTCCCCATTCTTTAACTCACAGCAGAAGTAGTTCTCTGAGAAGACTCCCCTAACATTTTTATTCTTATTTCCACACATCATCTCTGTGCTTCAGTTATAATTGACTCATACCTCCATGGCATCCTTTGTCATATTGCATGTGCCTTTATCTGCCCAATGATATAAACTATTTGAGAAGGGAAACAAAGCATCTTCATTCTTGAGTTCCTGATGCCTTGCACAAGGTCTGGCACAGAAAAGTGGCAATAGGTCTGATGACTGCAGGATTGTGAGAGGCGTGAATGGTCCCGTGATTCATCTTGGGTTGTGCAGAGAAGAATCCTTATTGTGTTGGCTCCCCCATCCTCCACAGGCCATCACCAAAGTCAACAACCACTCACTTGACACCCATAAAATTTACTTAATCATTTGCATAAAAAATGTTCCTAGAACCTTATTATTAGATGGCAAATGATGGTTGACCGAACTTCAAACAAGGACACCAAGCCAGTAATAGGTAATATGAGTGGATTCAGTCAAAGAAAGATTAATTTAATATTTCTTTCTGTGAAGAAGCTTTTATGCTTCTTCATGCCAGGATAATTTTCTCATATATTCAATAATAAAGTAAAGCAATGGGGAAATTCACTTGGATTGGTTTTCTCTTGATTTTAAACAAAAAGGTAAATAACCCCTTTCAATTTATTCAACTGTAACATAATCCAATATTTCTGGTGATATTCAATTATATAATGGCTTAATTGAAAGAAAATTAAACAAGTATATGTCTAAGTTCTGTCACACTAAATGAGATTTTAAATTACTCTAGGAACAGATATTTCAATTCTCATATGATGACTTTAAACAGGGTGGTATTTGATTTTCAGAAAAATCAATAAGAATTTCACAAACATTTGGGAGCCATCTTCTATTGATCTTGCACAAAATCAAATCAAATTCCACTTTATGCTCAGATGATCAAAGTAAAAGAAAAAGAAGTTGAAAAGCCAATTCAAGCTTTGTTAAGTAGTTTTTTAAGAATGCCTTCCATGATAGTAGCAAGAGCGGATTATCTTCCCTATCTTACCACTAGTAACCAGGTAACCAGGAGTAGGCTGAAGCTGAGTACATGCTTTTCATCTTACAAGTTAGTTAGTTATTTATAGAAAAAGACTGCTCTATAACCACACTTCCATACCCTTCATGTTTCTACATAAATATGGATTATTGGATGATATATTTTTAAAGAATTTCTATTTTATAGCCTATTCCACAAAGGATTTAAGGAACATTATACAGTGAAATACACATAAATCAGGACAATTAAAATTTAAAGGCAAATAAAAAACCAATTAGGAAGAAGATAAAGGCAGATGGAATAGTTTCCTCGAATTATTCACTTACCTCCTCTGAGCACTACCTTGTGCCCTATGGTTCAGCAGCACCTGCAGATAGGAAACAACTGTTAAGTTACAGGATTCTAACTTTTTTCTCTGTATGGAATATTGGCTCAACTAAAGGATCAATGGAACTGGGTGCAGTGGAGACTCTGGGGAGTGTTTTCCTTGATAAGGAGCATCACATTCAGGTTTGAAGCAGGTGGAGAGACATATCTCTATAAATCTAAGCCATCATATTCAATACAATGTAGTGAAGGTATAAGAGTTTTGTCTATTTATTCTAAGTACAGTAAGTCCCCTACATAGGAACGAGTTCTGTTCTGAGAGCTCGTTCGTTAAGTCCAACAAAGTCAGCCTAGGTACCCAACTAACACATTCGGCTATGTAGTACTGTACTGTAATAGGTTTATAATACTTTTCATACAAATAATACATAAAAAAGCAAACACACAAAATAAAGAACTTTTTAAATCTTACAGTACAGTACCTTGAAGAGTACAGTAGCACCAGGTACATCACCGCTGCTTTTACGCTTGCTTCTGGCCATCCTGGGCTTGAAATAAAGGTACTGTACTACCGTACTCTATACAGTCCTGTACAGTAAAGTACCCCAAAGCACAGCCACTTGTAGAGGATGCACACACGTGACAATGTACGCCAGACACCTGAACTAACTTATGTGGTCGGACGTGCAAACGCACGTTCACATCTTTGAAAGTTCACAACCTGAAGGTTTGTATGCTTTCTTCTGATAATCTAAATGGGTATAACTAATAGTCTGGGCTGTATCTGCTGCTGAGAGCTAATGACTGGTCCCTGAATAGGATCTGGGTAGCACCTGCCTCCAGTGAGTTCTGCTGGTCCAGCTGCCCAGTGGAATCTGCCATCAGCGTGATCTGCTAAAGAGATGTTTGTCTACCCATCCTCGGCTGGGCACACTGCAACAATGTAAAATTGTGCAGAGAATAGCCATTACGGGAGCAGAGTCTAATGAATCAAAAGACCCCTTCATCTGAATGCCATTCTTATAAGCAGAAGGAATGCCACCGTCTCCCTTAAATGTTTATTAAACATTATCTTTACACTGGCTTAGGCTCAACTCCTGGCTCTGATGCTTTGCCGTTTCTGTACTTTCAAAGGGTACATAATACTTGCCTAATGGTTTGTCATGAGAAACAGATGTCCCGTGAGTCACAAAGAAACAGTGACGATGTCTGATGTCAATGGATGTTATTTTCCCCTCTTTCTTTAGCCTAGGGTTTCAATCTCACTTTGTTAGGTACCTTTTGACAAAAGCTGTCTCTACTGGCAACACTTCAGACTCAGCTGTCTGCAATTTCCAGGCCTTATCACTTTAGGATCTCAGCTGTGCATATGCCTGCTTTTGAATTTCTATTTTCATTTGTATTTCCCTCTAGCTGATCACCTTTTTATGTGAATGGTCAGTTTTCTATTCAACTAGGTGATATCTTATTTTCACCAGCTTCCTTTATACTGGATAAATGGCTTAGAAAAGAGCATCCCTTGCATCTCAACATTACTTCTAATTAGTATCCCTATTTTTAAGTCAAATCAGCTCAGTGAAGGAGCTTGATGTTACTTCCCTTTGTACCTACATTTATTCTAAATTCTTCTTGACTTAGAAATGTAGGGGTATGTATATTACCTGCAGTAAAATCATGGATGATAGTAGGTGGCACTTTCTGTGTGCACCCAACACACCATCCTCTATCATACGCCATGTCCATGCACTCATCACATCATGAATTTCCAGGTTGGGTGTTAATATACAACATAAGCTTCTTGACAAGGGATGGACCATGGCCAATGAATATTAAAATTTTCTGATTATTTTCTAAGTTATAGTCACTATCTTTTACTTTAGTTACTAAAGAGGCAGCTAGCAAAGATGAGGTTCTTTGAAGAGGTGTGAGCCTTTTTTTTTAAAAATTTTTATTGGAGTATAGTTGATTTACAATGTTGTGTTAGTTTCAGGTGTACAGCAAAGTGAATCAGTTATACATATATACATGTATCCACTCTTTTTAAGATTCTTTTCCCATATAGGTCATTACAGAGTATTGAGTAGAGTTCCCTGTGCTATGCAGTAGGTTCTTATTAGTTACTTATTTTATATATAGTAGTCTGTATGTGTCGATGCCAATCTCCCAATTTATCCTTCCCTCTATCCCCTGGTAATGATGCATTTGGTTTTTACATCTGTGACTCTATTTCTGTTTTGTAAATAAGTTCATCTGTACCATTTTCTTAGATTCCACATATAAGCGATATCATACAATATTTGTCCTTCTCTGACTTGCCTTACACAGTATGACAACCTCTAGGTCCATCCACGTTGCTGCAAATGGCATTATTTCACTCTTTTTTATGGCTGAGTAATATTGCATTGTATGTTGTACCACATCTTCTTTATCCATTCATCCATTGATGGACATTTAGGTTGTTTCCATGTCTTATATTTTCTCCACAACAAGGATCATATCATATCTGAATGGGGCTGAGTTGAAGAGAATCTTTTCTCAAAATAATCATATTTCTTCAATTTTATTAAAGGGTTTGTTTTAAATCAATGTATTGCACTGAATCAATGATGTAAAAGTTTTAGTCTAAAAAGTAGGCTTTACTTAATAACCAGTTTATATATTAACATTTCTTAAGACTCTTTGGTGGGAGGGCCTACCATGTTAAGTGCTACTTTAATATTCTCAGGCAGTTAAAGAATTTCACCACAATATGGACTAAAATTGATATGCCCCTATCAATATTAGGGTGTAAGGCCTTTGTGTTTCTAATGCATAGCTGTACACAGAGAGAGGAATCAACTCATCAAAAGGTCTTCTGAAGGACCTCCTAGTTCATGGTGATATAGCCACAGAATCAGTGTAAAATTTATTGCTTTTATTCTTACTTCCTCGGGATAAGGTTATGAGTTAAACTTGTTTAAATACCTGCATTTAACGACTTACTTGTAAATTATTAAGAAAAAAGTAAGAATTTTGATGATCTATTATAATAATTTTTATATCCATTTTAATTCTGCCTTTACAGTCATGAACCAGGCTTTGAAATACATTAATGGCACAGGATTGATATTGAACCTTTATAATTGATAATTCCTGTTCACATGGTGAGTATCAATAAATACTTGGTAAGATGAAACAGAACTTAGCAATGATTAGTATCAGGATATTAATATGTAAAACTTGTTTTCAATATTCAAGATATTAGATTTACAGGTTCAGTGAATCATTTTTTTCAGACATTTATTCATTCTGGTCAGAGTTATCAAAGACTCGGTGTATGCCAGTGTCTGGGCAAGGTTTAATAATACAGATCTAAGGGACATGGTCCTTGCCTACAAAAAGCTCACAGAAGAGAGAAAAGTGATGCATATTCTGAAAGTCTTATGCGTGAGGTTTAGGGTGCTGGTGGGACACATGGAAGGTTCTAGAACTTAGACGAGGGCTTCAAGAAAAGCTCCCCAGAAGAGGTGATGACTGAGCTGAGAGTTGATTAAAAAGAATGTCAGCCTTGTGAGGGAGTGAATTAAGGCCTTGGGATTGCCGGGTTGTAAGATGGGAAATAAAAGCATGTAAATCAGCTGTACAAACTGGAGTTCAAGACACAGGAGAATAGCCAGGTTGGATCTTTGTCCAGGCCACTTTCTAGCCTCACAATATGTTCCTAATGATGCCTGAAGCCACTGCCTCTGTGACAAGCCACTGCTACCCTCCTTTCCTGACACCCTTCCCTCATCCCCAAGCCCCATCTCTGCATCATCATGGCATCTCCAAAGGCCACTGAGAGTGAACTGCTGGGGCAAAGGGCTGATGAATGTTTAATTTTATAACAAAATGCCAAAAATTCTCCAAAGTGGGTGTGCTGTTTCTTGTTTCCTCCAGCAATGTATGAGAGAGATTCAGCTGGTCCATATTCTTGCTGTTATTTGCTGTTGTCACCTTTTAGATTTTATCCATCCCCTTGGATATAAAGTAGTATCCCAATGGGGTTTCACTTTGCATTTCCCTCATGACAAAGAATGCTGATCCCCTTTTCATGTATTTCTTGTATTTCATATATCTTCTTATGTTGTGTCTGTCCAAGTTTTTTGCCTCTTTTATTGGATTACCTTGATTATTGATTTGAGGATTTATTTATGTAATTTGAATACAAGTCCCTTGGCACATACGTGTATTGTGAATACTTTCCATTCTATGCCTTGCATCTTCATTTTCTCAGTGTTTTGCTTTCATAAGCAGGAATTTTAAATTTTGATGAAGTCTAAATTATCAATTATATTTCTTTTACAGTAAGTTCTTTCTATGTGCTCTTTAAAATATCTGTGTGTAACCAAAGAACTCAACGTGTTTCTCTTATAGTTTCTTCTAAAAACTATAGTTATAGCATTATACTCTTAGTCCTATGAAGCTTTTCAAATTCTTTCTGCATGTGTATAATACAAGGCAGGGTTTGAAGACTATCTTTTTTTCTATATTTATCTAGTTGTTCTGACACAATCTGAATGGCAATGGCATATTTGTTGTAGACTATCCCTATATTATTTTCTGTTTCATCGATTTACTTGTCTATTCTTATGCTAATACCACATTGTCTTTATCACTACAGATGTATGACTTCTATTAAAATCAAGAGGTACAAGTTCTCCTGTTTAGTTCTTTCTCAAAACTTTTGAATATAATGCTTCACTTTTCACTGAAATTTCACAGTCAGCTTGTTAAATTTTTCAAAAAACTTAGCGTTTCATTGGAAGTAAATTGATTCTATATATTAATTAAAGGAGAATTGAAATTTTAAAGGAAAGTCTTCAACCCATGAAAATGTTGTACCTCCATCTATTTCTCTGTGTAACAAATTGTTATTTTCATATAAAGGATGTATATGACTTTTGTTTAATGTATTACTCCAGATTTGATGGAGTAACTGCAAATATATCTGCTTTTAATAGATTTATTAAGATATAATTAACAAAAACTGCACATAAAGTATATAATTTAATAAATTTTTATATATGTATAACCCATGAAAGCACCACCACAGTCAAGATACTAACTTGAAAAAAAAAGAGCATCAAGAACAGGGGAAATCTCTGAACAAGTGTCACTGAAATTTTCTCCTGTATTTTCTTCTAAAAGTCTTATTGTTTTAGTTTGTCTTCTTTGTCTTACGTTGAAGTCTATGATACATTTCACATTATTTTTTGAGTATGGTATGAGGTATAGTTCCAGGTTTATTTTTTGCAAGTGGATATCCAGTTGTTACAGCAGCATCTGTAGAAAATACAATCTATTCTCCATTGAATTTCTCTAGCATACTTATCAAAGAGGAGTTGTCCTTATATGATATACAAAACTATTTCTGGACATCCTTTCTGGATAAGTTGATCAATTTATATGTCTTGAGCCTTAGCCATGGTGTCCTGATTACTTAAGCTTTATTATAAGTCTTAAAATCCACTTCCTTTTCTTTTCCAGAGTTGTTTTAGCTTTTTGATGTTCTCTGCACTTCCATATGGATTTTTGAATCAGTTTGCCAAATTATACCAAAAGAATGGCCTGCTGGGATTTTATATATATATATATACAGCAGGTTCTTATTAGTTATCTATTTTATACACATCAGTGTATACATGTCAATCCCAATCTCCGAATTCATCACACCACCCTCCCCATTCCTGCTTTCTCTCCTTGGTGTCCATATGTTTGTTCTCTACATATGTGTCTCTATTTCTGCCTTGCAAACCAGTTCATCTGTACCATTTTTCTAGATTCCACATATATGCATTAATATACAATATTTGTTTTTCTCTGTCTGACTTACTTCATATACGCATTAATATAAAATATTGTTTTTTCTCTTTCTGACTTACTTCACTCTGTATGACCGTCTCTAGGTCCATCCACATCTCTACAAATGACCCAATTTTGTTCCTTTTTATGGCTGAATAATATTCCTTTGTATATATGTACCACATCTTCTTTATCCATTCTTCTGTTGATGGGTATTTAGGTTGCTTCCATGACCTGGCTATTGTAAACAGTGCTGCAATGAACATTGGGGCGCATGTGTGTTTTTGAATTATGGCTTTCTCTGGGTATCTCCCCAGTAGTGAGATTGCTGGATCATATGGTAATTCCAATTTTAGTTTTTTAAGGAACCGCCATACTGTTCTTCATAGTGGCTGTATCAATTTACATTCCTACCAACAGTGCAAGAGGGTTCTCTTTTCTCCACATGCTCTCCAGCATTTATTGTTTGTAGATTTTCTGATGATGTCCATTCTAACCGGTATGAGGTGGTACCTCGTAGTTTTGATTTGCATTTCTCTAATGATTAGTGATTTTGAGCAGCTTTTCATGTACCTCTTGGTCATCTGTATGTCTTCTTTGGAGAAATGTCTATTTAGGTCTTCTGCCCATTTTTGGATTGCATTTTTGTTTTTTTAATATAGAGCTGCACGAGCTGTTTCTATATTTTTGAGATTAATCCTTTGTCCATTGATTCATTTACAAATATTTTCTCCCATTCTGATGGGGTTGTCTTTTCATCTTGTTTATGGTTTCATTTGCTGTGAAAAAGCTTTTAAAATTCATTAGGTCTCACTTGTTTATTTTTGTTTTTATTACCATTACTCTAGGAAGGGGTCAAAAAAGATCTTGCTGCAATATCATGTCATAGAGTGTTCTGCCTATGTCTTCCTCTAAGAGTTTTATAGTGTCTGACCTTACATTTAGGTCTTTAATCCATTTGGAGTTTATTTTTGTGTATGGTGTTAGGGAGTGTTCTAATTTCATTCTTTTCCATGTAGCTGTGTAGTTTTTCCAGCACTACTTATTAAAGAGACTGTCTTTTCTCCATTGTATACCTTTGCCTCCTTTGTCATAGATTAGTTCACCATAGGTGCATGGGTTTAACTCTGGATTTTCTATCTTGTTCCATTGATCTATATTTCTGTTTTTGTGCCAGTACCATACTGTCTTGATTACTGTAGCTTTGTAGTATAGTCTGAAGTCAGGGAGTCTGATTCCTCCAGCTCCATATTTTCCCCTCAAGATTTCTTTGTCTATTTGGGGTCTTTTATGTCTCCATACAAAATTTTAAGATTTTCTGTTTTAGTTCTGTAAAAAAGTGCCATTGGTAATTTGATAGAGATTGCATTGACTCTGTATATTGCTTTGGGTAGTATATAGTCATTTTCACAATATTCATTCTTCCAGTCCAATAACATGGTATATCTCTCCATCTGTTTGTGCCATCTTTGATTTCTTTCCTCAGTGTCTTATAGTTTTCTGAGTACAGGTCTTTTACCTCCTTACGTAGGTTTATTCCTAGGTATTTTATTCGTTTTTTGCAATGGTGAATGGGATTGTTTCATTAATTTCTCTTTCTGATCTTTTGTTTTTAGTGTATAGGAATACGAGAGATTTCTGTGCATTAATTTGGTATCCTGCAACTTTACCAAATTCATTGATTAGCTCTAGGAGTTTTCTGGTGGCATCTTTAGGATTATCTATGTGCAGTATCATGTCATCTGCAGTGACAGTTTTTCTTCTTATCCCATTTGTATTCCTTTTCTTTCTTTGTCTTCTCTGATTGCTGTGGCTAAGACTTCCAAAACTATGCTGAATAATAGTGGTCTTGTACCTGATCTTAGAGGAATTGCTTTCAGTTTTTTACCATTGAGAATGATGTTTGGTGTGGATTTGTTGTATATGGCCTTTATTATGTTGAGGTACGTTCCCTCTATGCCCATTTTCTGGAGACTTTTTATCATAAATTTGTGTTGAATTTTGTCAAAAGCTTTATCTGCATCTATTGAGATGATCACATGGTTTTCAATCTACAATTTGTTAATATGGTGTATCACATTGATTGATTTGCATATATTGAAGAATCCTCGCATGCCTGAGACAAACCCCAGTTGATCATGGTGTATGATCCTTTTAATGTGTTTTTGGATTCTGTTTGCTAGTATTTTGTTGAGGATTTTTGTGTCTATATTCATCAGTGATATTCATCTGTAATTTTATTTTTTTGTGGTATCTTTGCCTGTTTTGGTTAAGGGTGATGGTGGCCTTGTAGAATGAGTTTGGGAGTGTTCCTTCCTCT